CCTAGTGGCACAGTGAACCCCCCTCATCCTCCGATCCCCTAAGTCAGGGGTGGGGAACTTTTTCCTGCCAAGGGCCATTTGGATATTTATAACATAATTCGAGGGCCATACAAAATTATCAACTTAAAAATTAGTCTGCTATATTTTGTCAAACATTTAATTAACTCATCGCTAATACCTTGGCAGGGCCAGACCAAATGATTTTGGGGGCCTTATCCGGCCCACGGGTCAGACGTCCCCACCCCTGCCTAAGTTCTAGAAATATCTCCTTAAACAGTCATCAGCGACAAGGACCACCCAGCAACTTCGAATTCAGCATTTCAACCAGTCATTCTCTTCCTCTTTGGGGGAAATATACAAGATGGGCCCAGCATGGCCTAACTACAGATTCTTCTGTTTGAAACCTGAGTCTGTTTACTCCGAGTCTCACAATTCATTAATAGCAGTATTGGAATTACAGCCTGAGGCTGGAAGGAAAACCAAAAAAGGGCATAAAAACAAACAAAAACTTCTTTAAGTGTACAAAAACAGAAACAAAGTCTGAATATACACTTCTGCTGGGTTCCAGCAGGCGGGAGCAGGACCCAGGAGCACACTGGCTGTCCAACCACATTTTTCACCTTGACAGATACCAGATATACACTAAGCACAGAAGAGCTGGCAAGAGGTGACCAGGCCTCAGGCTCAGGGAAAGCATCTCTTGGCAGCTCCCGGTGACACACCAGGCACAGCCAGGACTTGGAGAATGCCACATTTCAATCCACTCTCCAGCTTGGACCATGGTGGCATAGCTTAAACCTGTTTTCTCTCTAGCTTGGAGAGTTCTTATTTTGATAGCAGAAAGCATGACACCAAAGTGTAGACTGAGCCCAGCCAGCGTGGCTCAGTGATTGAGCATTGACCTATGAACCAGGAGGTTGAGGTTTGATTCCCAGTCAGGGCACATGCCCAGGTTGCCAGCTCGATCCCAGTGTGGGGCATGCAGGAGGCAGCCGAGCAATGATTCTCTCTCACCACTGATGTTTCTATATCTCTTTCTCCCTCTCCCTTCTTCTCTGATATCAATAAAAATATATTTTTAAAAAACAAGTGTAGACTGAGATGACAGAGAATGACCAACAGGTGGGATATTCTGGAGAATGTTGCAGAGGATGACAATGAAAGAGATGGGCAGCCCGACTTACACGATCATGCAGAACATCATGAAAACGTTCCACAGGGCGATGAAGATTCGGAAGTACCTGAGGCTCAGTAGGAATTCCCGGATGTTGTCACCTGGAAGGTCAGAAAGCATGTTTACAAGTACTGCTAACTTTCTACTGTCACAGCTGCAGGTGCTTCTGCAGTTTCTGCCCACCCCAAGCCCACTGCCCTCATGTTCTACAGTGGCAGCTCCGTTTTTCCTTTGGGTTTCTTCTGCTCCCCAACCCTCAGCACTCAGGCTGCCACTGACCAATCTCCCAGTCTGATTGGTGAGGAAAGAGTAAGTGATCCAAGTACGTATGCCCAATGAGAGTCAGCCCTGGGACTTTTGCCCCAACTACTGTTTTCTGCCAGGCTCCCTGGGCTGGGTTGGAAAGATATAAGCAGTGTCCTCTAGGACAGGCATTGGCAACTTAGGCTCAGGAACTGAAACCAGCCCCTGCCACCTGTTTCTGTGTGACCCAGGAGCTAAGAATGTTTTTCCTATTTTTTTAAAATATATTTTTATTGATTTTTTACAGAGAGGAAGGGAGAGAGATAGAGATTTAGAAACATCGATGAGAGAGAAGCATCAATCAGCCACCTCCTGCACATCTCCTACTGGGGATGTGCCTGCAACCCAGGTACAAGCCCTTGACCGGAATCGGACCTGGGACCTTTGAGTCCGCAGGCCGACGCTCTATCCACTGAGCCAAACCGGTTTCGGCATTCCCTATTTCTTAATAGTTAAAAAAAAAAAAAAGTAATAGAGTATTTGGTGAGATATAAAACTTACATGAAATTCAAATTTCAGTGTCAACAAATAAAGTTTTATTGAACAAAGCTATGACCATTCGTTTACATATTGCCCATGGCTGCTTTCCTGTTTCAATGGCAGAGTTGAATTGTTGCACCAGAGATGGCATGGCCTGCAAAGCCAAAAGTATTTATAATCTGGCCCTTTACAGAAAAGTGTGCCAAGCCCTGCTCTAGGGTCATCTTTGCCAACACAAGCCAGCCTGATAGTAAAACCAACCTAGAAGGGAAAAGAGAGCTAGAGACAGCCACATGCTGGAGGGCTAAATCAGGTGTGCCTGAAGACAATTCTATCCTTGGGTGTTTCAATTTGCTTTTACCACTCTGAGATGGGATTTTAGTGCTTGCAACGAAAAGCATACTAATTTGGGCAAGTATAACAGCAGTTCTGCTTTGGTGACGACTTACTCTAGTTCCCTCTGCCGCCAAGGAACAGAAACCACTCCAAGAGGAGGCCATTTGGTACATTAAGACTCCAGAGACCTGTGTTCCAGAACCTTCCTCTTGGGTTTTGAGTCATTTTTCCTCACCCACCCCCAACCCCAGCCTCCAGAATGAAATTAACTGGTCCAGGTTAGGCGACCTACAAGGGTGCAACCCAAAGTGTCATCTGGAGATCACAGCTCTCTGGTAAGTACAAAATACCGGGTAGGAGCTCTTTTCGCAGCAACCCAGCACGACAGTCACCTGTTACTGGTACTGCTGTGCCATCCTAGTGCATGATCAGCACACAGTCTTGTTAGCCAGTATCATCCACCACATGTAGTTGGTCAGGCCATGTGTGGCACAGCCTAAGTGACCTAGCATGGGCTTCAACTGACAGAGACGGGTCTGTCCAAAGGATGTCTGAGAGGCACCCTTGGCAAGGCCCTTCTCTAAACTGAGGATCATGTAAATGGGCTCTCCTGACGACAGATACTAATTAAGGCCACTGGCTCCAGGTAGGAGCCTGGTGTGGGAGACACAGGGAAGAACAGACAGGTGTCCCTGCCCTAAGGAGCTCACAGGGGAGGGGTGGGGGGAAATACTAAACAAGCACACAGCAGGAAAGAGCTAAATAAGCTGGAGTCTCTTCTCTGGAGCTTAAGGTCAAGTGTGAGGGGTAGAAATTAGCCAGATGACAAAATACATATAAAGAAAAATAATAACTGTAGGAAGTAATAAGAGTGCTGACTTATGCACGGAGATCTGGCAGGTAAAAGAAGTGGGTGACAAGTGGGCAAGAGGAACATCACATCCTTGTGCCTCTCTCTCTCTCATACACACACACACTCTCTGGACCAATTCCCGAGTCCAGAAAGGAGGCTTTACCTGTGCTAGGCTCCCTGGACTCCTCCCCAAAGCCATGCGAGTCCTTCTTTTTCCTACAAAGAGAAGCAGTCAGTGTCCACTTTCGATAGGATGCAAGGACCGCTCAGTCCTGGCATCAAAGGGCCATTCAGCTCTAGCGCTGACTTGCAGTGTGACCTCGGCGGTTCAATGACCCTCTCTAGGCGCCCACCTGCCCCACCAATTACAGCCATCGACAAAGTGGAGAAGGTAACCCGTGGGTACAGGTTAGGACTAAGAGTTTCTTGGGGGATGGGCTTGGGGGCATTCGGGGTGCGAGCGGAGGGATGCCCGGAGAACGGAGAGCCAAGATTTCAAGCCGCGGTGGCGCGAAGAGTCTCAGGGGCAAGGACTAGGCTGCAAACCGATTCAGAGGCTTGGCTGGGACTTGGGTGCAGGGCCTGCGACGCGGGGCTGGCTCACGCTCGCGGGGGCGGGCTACGGGTGCCCGGGTGGAGCAGCGGTCCTTTGCGGCCTACTCACAGCTTAAAGTTAAGCACCGCTCCGGCGTTCATCAGCAGCGTTCTGCGGAGGAAGAATGCAGTTACCTAGGCCGCCCCCAACCCTGTCGGGCCCTACTTCCCCGGCCTCTAGGCCCCTTAATTACCCGAAGAGCAGAATGTCTCCGATCATCTTTACAGCCGAAGCGTCCGACAGAACCGGAAGCGGAAATCTAGGGAGGGCGGGGAGAGGAACACGAGACGACCAATTGTGAAGCAGCGCTGGCGAGGGCTGAGCCAATCGAAGGCCAAGGCAGGCAGGGTCCCGCCCTCTGCAGGCCCGACCCTCTTAGGGAAGAGGAAGCGCCTTTACTAGCTGCAGAGGCCAGGAGCGTAGCGGAGAAGGGCCGGGCGATCGTGTGACGTCATCTGTGGGCGGGGCCATCCGGGGATGGATTAGGTCACTCTTGGGAGGCGTGGCGCACAGGGGAAAGGGACCCGCGTGCTGGAGAATTGGCTCCCGGCTTTATCTTCTGGAATGGAATCTCAGATGGCGCTTCTGAGAAAACGGCGCCCAAGACCACGGAGCAGCACAGAGGAGTGGGTCCTGACGCAGTGGGCCGTCCGGGGCACGGACGCCCCGACTGATTGGGGAGGGTCCTCCGGGGCCCCACGAGAGACGCGGATCCCCACTGCCTGTGGCGGGGGACCCTACTGAGCGGTCCCTTTGGAGGACGGAGGTCCCTGTGGGGGATGGAGGTCATAATGTACGGAGTCACATGGAAGACTGGGGTCGCGACAGCTGCCTAGCGGACGAGGTCCTGACTAAAGGGACCCCCTGAGGCACCGGAGAATGGGGCTCTCCACTGATCAGGCCCCACGAGGGATGGAGGTCCCGACCCGAGGGCTCCACAGAGGACGTGGGTCCTCATCGAGCACCACCTGGGCGCGGTTCTAACTGACCCGTCCCCCCTAGGCGGGCTCCGAGCGTGAGGGACCCCTCCACAGTGGACAGCTCCCCTGCCCAGCTCACTCCACCGAGATCGGCACCCGCCTCGCTGGGCTGAATGGAGTCGTGAAGGCTCAGAGGAGGGACAAATTGGGGACACCTGACCGGCCGGGCTGCATGGGACAGGACGGCCGCGGGACAGCTGTCGGCCCTCCTTTCTCCCGGGCCCGGCTTGGGGGCGGTGCCTGGCGGGGGTGGGCGGGCCCCGCAGCGGGGGGTGGGGGGGCGCAGTCGCGGGTTCGTGGGCGGCGGGACGCACCGGGCTGGGGGCTGGGGTGGGACCCGGCGGGCGCCATGGAGCTGCTGTCCGCGCTGAGCCTGGGCGAGCTGGCGCTCAGCTTCTCTCGGGTGCCGCTCTTCCCCGTCTTCGACCTCAGCTACTTCATCGTCTCCATCCTCTACCTCAAGTATGAGCCAGGTGAGCCCGGCGGGCGCAGGGTCGGAGGGGCTGGCATCGCGGGGCGGGGGCGGGGGCGAGGAGGGGGAGTCCTGGATCGTGGCGGGTGACGGGAGACGGGTTCGGGGAGCAGGCAGGTGCTGGGATCTTGGGGTTCTCCCGTGCCGCGGTGGGAGAACCGTGGGGAAACGTGAGGGAGGGCGAGGAGATGTGAGGGCTGGGGGAGGGGAAGCAGCTGGGGCCTGGAGGGCAGGAGAGGACGCTGATCGTTCAGGGGAACAGGTGTTGGGGAGTTTGCAGGGAGAGAAGGGCAGGGGTCCTAGTAGGTAGGGTCGCATGAAGCTGGGTCAGGGGCGTAGGTCGTGGTGAGGGGCCGTCGGGGTGGGCGCCGCGGGCTCGGCCAGATGTCTTGCCGCCCGCAGCGGTGACCTCCCTCCTTGCCCTTGGCTGGGGAGCCGGGGCGGCAGCTGAGTGTCTATATTAGGGCCGGTCGCGCTGGGGTCAGTTTCAGAGAAAGTGACACCGGTGCCCCCTCCCGCTGCCGCTCAGGGAGGCGGCTGCGCTGGACCTCTGCTCCCGCCGGAATTCTTCCAGCTCTGGCCCCATTCTCTGCACGTCCTGAGCCCAACCGGCCCCAGGGTGGGGTAATTTGGGGTCAGCCTTCTCCCCCCAGCTCCAGACCCCCATGGAGAATCGCAGAGGGGAGGACCCGGCTCTTTTCGGATTTAAACACACACACACACACACACACACACACACACACACACACACACACACCATTTTTAAAATGAGGATAAATGGCCTCCACAGAATGTGTTCTATTTTTATACAAGGCTCAGGGACTAGTGATTGTTCTCCCAGTGTTTTAATTATGCTAGTTACACCGGCAAACTACATGGACAGAATTTAGCTTTAGAAAAAAGATTAATCACCCAAAACTTTGTGACCCTTTCTCCCACTTAGATGTAAATTACCCCATAGTCTCGTCTCAGAATGGAAATAGTTTTTTTTAGTGATAAAAATAGGTGCTCCTAGGGGAAGAGATCAACCGAAGGACTTGTATACACGTATATAAGCCAAACCAATGGACATGGACAACAGGGGGATGGGAGCATGAGTGTGCGGGGTGGGGGGGGGGAGGTTGGGGGCTAATGGGGGGGATGAAAAAAAAAAAGAAAAAAAAATAGGTGCTCCTGTTTACTTTAAAATCAAGCCGAAAAGCACAAAGGAAAAGAGAGAGAATTACAGTTGATGTGGTGGCCACCCTTCCAGACCTCTCTTCTCTGCACTTATAACCCCCAGAGTTATGAATGTAAACCCACGATCTTATGCAAAGAGTATCGTACTCTGCTTGCCAAGTGTTTTTGTTCCGTTTTATTTTTGCCAGTCCACAGGCCAGAGCCTATTTTTTTAAAAAGCTTTTCTATAGAGCAGTTACTTTGCAAAGCAAAATAAGCTTTGTATTGTCTGTAGCATGACCACGGGTCTTTATTTCCTGTATGGGGATGAATTCCTGGTGGCTCAGGCCAGTCCCCAGACGAATACAGAACCCAGGTGAGCACACTTAGGAAATCTCCAACCCTGGAGCAGGAGCCTCCCAGGGATGTAGGACATAAGTGTCTGGAGGCAAGGGGTCTCCAGGCCGGCTGGGAGGAGGCAGGAGGGGTCAGCACATTCCCACTGGAGTCACAGAGTAAGTCCTCTGAACTAGAAGTTTGAAGGTTCCTGAAGGTTGAGAGGGTTCAATGGTCCTCAACCCTAGGTGCATGTTTGAGCCTCCTGGGGGCTCTCAAACCCTCCAATTGACTCAGAATATCTGGGGAGGGGCTCTGGTATCCTCCTGTTTGAAGTTCTCCTCCCCCAGTGATTGCTGTCTACTGTCAAGGTTGAGAAACCCCAGCCCAGTACAACTTCCTCCTTTTGTAACTGGGGAAATGGGAAACAGGCGAAGCTAATTTACATAGGCTGTGAGCCTCTTGTCCTGTGGCTGGTAGATGCTGGTGCTGGGGTTCCAACCCAGGTCTGTTTGACCCCAAGAATCACTAGGATTACTCTGGGGTCCAAGCAAGGCGTTGGACTTCGCTGTTAGCCCTCCCACCCCCACCCCCACCCCCACCCCCTTGGTGGTTCTGCTGAACCTTTGTAAAGATCTCTACTCAGAATCCATGTACAGTTTGCAGGAGCAGGTTCAGAATTTGCAGAATCCCTTCAGAAATTAAGTATTTCCAGACAGTGATGGCCCTCTGAGCACCGGTCCTGGGCAACTGCACAGGTCGCACTCTCAGAGATGGGAGCCAGGCCACCTTTAAGGAAAAATCTCCAAATTGGGAGTGATTCTGCCTCTAGCACAGGCTGCTTACTGAGTCTCCATGAGCTTCAGTTTGCTCATCTGTGAAATGGGCTCATTGGTAAAATCATCCTGGACTCCCTTTCCTAGCTGGTGTGACGATCTGTTGAGAACTTTGTCAATGGTAGGGTCTAAGGCACTTGAGAAAGGCACTTACAATTATTTTTAAGGCAGCGAGGGAAGGTGTTTCCTGGGACGCAGGCATTTTCTGGGTCAGGCTTTCCTGAGAATGAAGATGAAGCTGGGAGTGTGGTCCTCGAGTGAACAGCATCTGTGTCCCCTGGGCGCTGGTTAAGAAATGCACAATGCCAGGCCCAGACATGCATTTGAATAAGATCTCCATAAGCACACTAACGTTTGAGAAGCGATGAACTGTAACAGGCTGGAGCTCCTTTTTTAAAAAATATTTTTTTATTGACTTCAAAGAGAGGAAGGGAGAGGGAGAAAGAGATAGAAGCATTAATGATGGGAGAGAATCATTGATCAGCTGCCTCCTGCATGCCCCCACTGGGGATAAGGGCATGTGCCCTGACTGGAAATTGAACCGTGACCTCCTGGTTCATAGGCCAACACTCAAACACTGAGCAACACTGGCTGGTCTGGGGCTCCTTATTAAACCGAGAGTTGCTTCCTGGGGCAGGGGGTTTGGGTCTGGCTCACTTCCAGGACCCCCAGCTCTATGCAAGAAGACAGGAGGAAGCAGTGGGTGCTGGCTGTTGCCTGCATTATTAAAGGAAGGAAGGAAAGGAGAGAGGAAGGAAGGAAGGAAGGAAGGAAGGAAGGAAGGAAGGAAGGAAGGAAAGAAGGAAGGAAGGAAGGAATTATAATCCCGGTTACCTTGGGCCTGATCCATCCAAAGAACTTTTCAGACCAGTGGTCCTCAGATTAGACCCACTTTGAGAGCTTTTAAAAATCATCTAGGCAGCATCCCTCCATCATTTAAATCAGAATCTCTGGGGGCAGCACCAGCATCAGTATTTTATTTTCTATAGAGCAGTTACTTTGCAACGCAAAATAAGCTTTGTATTGTTGTAGCATGACCACGGGTCTGTATTTCCTGTATGGGGATGAATTCCTGGTGGCTCAGGCCAGTCCCCAGGTGAGTACAGAACCCAGCACACCTAGGAAATCTCCAACCGTGGAGCAGGAGCCTCCCAGGGATGTAGGACACAGGCGTCTGGAGGCAAGGGGTCTCCAGGCCGGCTGGGAGGAGACAGGAGGGGTCAGCACATTCCCACTGGAGTCACAGAGTAAGTCTTCTGAACTAGAAGTTTTGCCAATACGTCTTATAAAATGCCTTTATCTTATCACACCATTTAAATATTTTCTAAAATATATTTTTCAGTTATAATATTATATTGGTTTCAGGTGTTTTAAAGTTCCCCACATGAGACCCGGGTCTCTCCATCACTGTTTCCCAGCCTCAGCTCTATTGGTGGTTAGAACCAGGCCATTCTCTGCGGTGGGGGCAGCTCTGTGCATTTCAGGGTGTTTTGCAGCATCCCTGGCCTCTACCCACTAGCTGCTGATCTTTTTACCGTCTCCATAGCTCTACCCATTGTGACAACCAACACTGTCCCCATACATTGCCAATATCCCAGATATTTGCTCCCAATTGAGAACCATTGATCTAGACCAGTGGTTCTCAACCTTCCTAATGCCGCGACCTTTTAATACAGTTCCTCATGTTGTGGTGACCCCCAATTTCATTGTTACAAATTGAACATAATTAAAGCATAGTGATTAATCACAAAAACACTATGTAATTATATATGTGTTTTTCAATGGTCTTAGGCAATCCCTGTGAAAGGGTTGTTCGACCTCCAAAGGGGTCGCGACCCACAGGTTGAGAACCGCTGATCTAGACTGAATCTCAACCTCCAGTGCTATCAAGGACCAGGCAGGTGACAGATGGGAAGCAATAAACCAGCTTGCGAGGACCTTGCCCAGGTGAGATCCAGCCAGGCTCATCTCCACCTGGTTGGGGCTGGAACCATCAGAACTGGTTTTTCAAGGGAAGCTGGAAATGTGATTTGGCTATTGGAACTCTTCTTTTTTTTCTTTTCATTTTCTTTTATTTAAATTAATAGACTTTATTTCTAGAGCCATTTTAGAGCTAGATCAAAATTAATCTGAAACGACAGTTTCTGTATATTACTGACCACCCCCATCACATACACATAGTCTTTCCCACCATCAACATTCTCTGCCAGAGTGGTACATTTGTTACAATTAATGAACCAACATAAATATCAACATTGTTATCATGTAATTATTATTATCATAGATTGACATCATTATCAACCAGTCTATAGTTTACATTAGGAGTCTTTGGTGGTGTACATTTATGAATTTTGACAAATGTATAATGACATGTATTCACCATTCTAGTATCATACAGAATAGTTTTACTGCCTTAAAAATCCCCTGTGCTCCACCTATTCATTACTCTCCCCTACCCTCCACCTGGAACCCCCACCAATCTCTCATCTTTTTTCTTTTTTAAATATGTTTTTATTGATTTCAGAGACAGGAAGGGAGAGGGAGAGAGAGAGAAACATCAATGATGAGAGAGAATCATTGCTCGGCTGCCTCCTGCATGCCCCCTACTGGGGATGGAGCCAAAACTCCGGCATGTGCCCTGACTGGGAATCGAACAGTGACCTTCTGGTTCATGGGTTGATGCTCAACCACTGAGCCACACCAGCCAGGCAACCGCTGATCTTTTTACTGTCTCCATAGTTCTACTTTTTCCAGCTTGTCATAGAGTTAGACTCATGCAATCTGTATCCTTTTCAGACTGGCTTCTTCCACTTGGTAATATGCATTTAGGGTTCCTCCACATCTTTTCATGGCTTGATAGGTCATTTCTTTTTACTGTTAAGTAATATTCCATGGTATGGATGTACTACAGTTTAATTTTTAAACTATTGAAGGACATCTTGGCTACAGTTTGAACATTTAAAAAATTCTGTGTGGGTACCAGGCCAGTGTGGCTCAGTGGCTGAGCATCGACCCATGAACCAGGAGGTTGAGGTTCGATTCCCCATCAGGGCACATGCTCAAGTTGCAGGCTCGATCCCCAGTAGGGGGCATGCAGGAGGCAGCCAAGCAGTGATTCTCTCTCATCATTGATGTTTCTCTCTCTCTCTCCCTCTCCCTTCCTCTCTCTGAAATCAATGAAAGCACATTTAAAAAACAATCCTGTGTGAGCTAAGAGAACACTTTCTTGATCTCTGGTTTAAACTGTAAGCTTTTTGAGGGCAGATGGCTACTCATCCCCAACCTTGCAAGGCAGGGACTACCAACTCCAACAAGGAAGGAAACTGAGGCAGAGAGCTTTGCTCAAAGGCTCAAGAAAAGAGGATTTAGAGTTGCTGAGAGATTCTGTCAGTACACCTCATATGCTTAGACCTCAGACTAAATAGCACCAAACGAGGGGCAGTGCTGAAAATGCCCTGGGGAACCTTCTAGCACTTCCCTGCCGTGGGAATGTCATGGAGCCCATCTAGGAGACCTGACCAGGGCCTCCTCCTCCCTCGAAGGCAGAGCTGATTTTTATAAATCCTCCACTAGAATTTCCACCCGCGGGTACTTTCCATTTCAGTTCAGTTCCAGGAATAACTCTCACACAATTACTAGGCAATAAGCAATTCTTTCCCTCCTCGGGTGCACTGAGGTGACCAACTCAGCCAGGTTTGCCCAAGACAAGAATCCAAAGTCCCATGTCCCTGGAACTCTTAGGCCCCAGGCAAACTGGGATAGCAACTAAGCAGATTGAAGCCAGGAGAGGGGAGAACTTTAGTGGCAAACCTGGGCCTGAAACCTGTATTTTGCTGCTTCTGGGTGCTATCCCCAAACCAAGGAGTGTGGCAAAGGAAGGATCTAGGGGGACTGTTTTTCAGCCCCTGCCTTGCTATGGGTCTTCAGGGCAGGTTGTCTCCATCAGCCTCAGTCTTCCCATCTGTAGCAATGGGGAGACTGTTCCTGTCCTTCCAGGATTGCCAGGAGGGTATTGATAATGATAAGAAACATGATGATTATACTGCACGCTGCATTGATTCATCAATACAACTCCATGAATGGGGTACTCTCATTCTCTCTTTTTGTTAATACTCCCCCGAGAACATGCAGAGAGAGAGAGAGAGAGAGAGAGAGAGAGAGAGAGAGAGAGAGAGAGAGAGAAATCAGTGGGAGAGAGAAACATCTATCGGTTGTCTTCCATCTGCTCCCCAACTAGGGATCAAACCCAAAAACCAGGTATGTGCACTGACTGGGAATCAAACCTGCAACCTTTCGGTGCACAGAACGAAGGCTCAATCAAATGAGCCTCATTCTCTTTTGACAGCAGAGACTGGGGAGGGAGCAGTCATTTGCCCAAGGCCATGCCTGAATGAGCAGCAGAGCCAAAACCCAGGCGTGTGACTTTATTTTAATTAGGACTCACCATGATACAAACATGGAACCTGCTTTACTCCTGCGAAACCCAGGTCCTCACCCCCACTCCCCAGTCTCAGTCCCTGGGATAGCCCCAGAGGGCACCCAAAAGACCCTGGAAAGAATTCAACCCCTGGGGGCTATTTTTAAACGCAGAGGTATCCATTTCTGCAAAACATGGGTGCCTCACCTGACCTGGTCCCTGCAGGCCCCACCAGCTGCTCTGAAGGATTACCGCTCAGCTGGCAGGGTTTTAAATAGACACTCCAGAGAAGAGAACGCTGCTTTCTTAAATCCTGTGATTAAATCCTTCAATGCTGAGACTTTAGGTCCTAAAGTCGCGACCCCTTTGGCGGTCGAACGACCCTTTCACAGGGGTCGCCTAAGACCATCCTGCATATCAGATATTTACAATACGATTCATAACAGTAGCAACATTACAGTTATGAAGTAGCACGAAAATAATTTTATGGTTGGGTCACAACATGAGGAACTGTATTTAAAGGGCCAGAAGGTTGAGAACCACTGCCTTAGGATAATCTGGCAGGGAAAGGATGCGAATGGTGCAAGTAACTGCATGGTGAGATTGAGGAGGGAAAATTTGGCTCCAATCATCGTTAGGAGTTGAGCAAAGAAGGGATTAAGGGTTTGCACCTGACAGAAGGAAAGGGCCACACAGAGAAAAAAATAGTTTGTCCAAGATCACATGGTTAGTTGGTGGGGATGGCGAAGAGGAAGGGGAGTGTGTTGATGATTTACTCTAAAACAGCTTTTATTAGGCATGCTTGCTCATTATAAAATGTAGTATATCCAAGAGAATGGTGAAATAACTTGTGATCTAGTTCTATGATGGAACATTATACAACAGTAAAAAATGAATATTATTTTTAAAAATACTGTGCTCAGTGAAAGAGACAAATGCAAAAGGCCATGTTATATACAGGGGTGGGCAAAAGCAGATTTACATTTGTAATACAAATAAACAATACAATGATTAATAACAATACAAGAATAAACTCTGTTTTGTGTACTCACACCTGTAAACCTACTTTGCCCACCTCTATATTTCCATCTACATGTACTATATAAGTTTTTTTAAAAAATATATTTTATTGTTTTTTTTTACAGAGAGGAAGGGAGAGGGAGAGGGATACAAAGTTAGAAACATCGATGAGAGAAACATCGATTCAGCTGCCTCTTGCACGCCCCCTACTGGGGATGTGTCCGCAACCCAGGTACATGCCCTTGACCGGAATCGAACCTGGGACCCTTCAGTCCTCAGGCCGACGTTCTATCCGCTGAGCCAAACCGGTTAGGGCCTATATAAGTTTTAGGACATTTTCATCACCCCAAAAGAAAATCCCATTGCTATTAACTGTCACTCCCCATTGCCCCTCCCCCAGCCCCTGCCAATCACTAATTTGCTTTCTGTTTCTATGGATTTGCCTGCTCTGACATTTCATATAAATGGTATCCTACAATATATGGTCTTATGGCTTTTTGTGTCTGGCTGCTTTCACTTAGCATGTTTTCAAGACTCATCTATGTTGTAGTATCTATCAAGACTTCATTCCTGCCCTGGCCAATGTGCCCAGTGGTTAGAGCATTGGTCTGCACACCGAAGGGTTGAAGGTTTGATTCCCAGTCAAAGGGCACGTACCTGCTTGCAAGTTCAATCACCAGCCAGTCAGGATGAGTGCGGGAGGCAACCAATCACTGTGTCTCACATCAGTGTTTCTCTCTCTCTCCCTCCCACCCCCCACAAAAGACTTTATTCCTTTTTTAAAATTAATTTATTTTCCAATTACAGTTGACATACAATATTATATTATTTTCATGTGTACAATATAGTGATTAGACACTTATCTACCTTACGAAGTAAACACTCCAATAAGGACTTCATTCCTTTTTAAGGCTGAATAATGTTCCATTGTATGGATAGGTCACAGTTTGTATCTATATATCATTTGATGGACACTGAGGATGTTTCCACCTTTTGATGATTATGTTGCTATGAACATGGACTTTTTAAAAAAATGTTTTTATTGGTGTTTAGAGAGAGAGAGAGGAAGGGAGAGGGAGAGAGAGGGAGAGAAATATCAATGTGAGAAACATAGATCGGCTGCCTCCTGCACGTCCCCTACTGAGGATCAAGGCCACAACCTGGGCTTGTGCCCTAACCAGGAATCGAACTGGCGACCTTTTGGTGCCTGGGACAATACTCAGCCAACTGAGCCACACTGACTGGACAATTTATCTTTCTGAGGTCCACAGTTCAACTCACACACCTTCTCTGTGTCTGTCTGGAATATTATTCAGCCTTAAAAAGAAAGGAAATTCTGACACGTGCTACCAAATACTATACGATTCCTCCCCCTTATCCCCCTGCCTCCCAGGAGCAGTGGAGCTGGCCCGGCGCCACCCCATGGCATCCTGGCTGTGTGCCATGCTGCACTGCTTCGGGAGTTACATCCTGGCTGATCTGCTCCTCGGGGAGCCCCTGATCGACTACTTCAGCAACAACTCCAGCGTCCTGCTGGCCTCCGCTGTCTGGTAAGCATTGCCAGGCTGGCTGGGCGTGGGAGAGCAGCGCCGGAGGGCAGGGGTGACCCATTCACCAGAGAGGTGGGAGGCGGGCGGGACCGGGATCCAACTGCACAACCTCCACAGAGGCCCTGAGGGCACTGCTCTGTTGCTCAGCTCTGTCCTGAGCCAGGCACGCAGGAAGGATACAACCTCGCCTCCCAGGGCCCCCGGAATCTCTCCCCCTGATGCTTGGCATTCTCTCCCGAAGGTACCTGATTTTCTTCTGTCCCCTGGACCTCTTTTACAAGTGTGTCTGCTTCCTGCCTGTGAAACTCATCTTTGTGGCCATGAAGGAGGTGGTGAGAGTCCGAAAGATCGCCGTGGGCATCCACCACGCGCATCACCACTACCACCACGGGTGGTTCGTCATGATTGCCACTGGCTGGGTCAAAGGTAAACAGGACCATAATGATGACAACCGAGAAGCACCCAGTTGAGAACCCTGGTCCAGTGGTCCATATTGGGCAGCCAGGCTGAGGGGTACCAGGACTGCTGCAGGGGTCCAGGCTGCCCATTAGCCCACACCTTTAGAGCAAATGAGAAGATTCTTCCAGAAGTTTAACCATCACAGGCAAATAGGACAATGATGAAACAATGACAGCTGATACCCAGAGCAGGGTTTCTCAATTGCGGCACTACTGACATTTGGTGCTGGATCATTCTCTGTGGTGGGGGCCATCCTATGAATGGCCAGGGGTTGAGCAGCATCCCTGGCCCCCACCCACCAAGAGCACACCCCCCTCCCCAGTTGTGACAACCAAAAATGTCTCTAGACGTTGCCAAATGCCTCCTCGGGAGACAAAATCACCTCAGTTGTGAACCCCTGGTGCAAGTCTGGAACCCCAGCTGGCAGCCGCTCCTGGAGAGGGTATTCTTTCTGGAAATGTAATCACTGTGTCTCCAGGAAGCCTGTACCAATTCCCCGGGGAGGTAGCATGCCTCCCGGAGGGCAAGTGGCTTGAGAAAGATTGAGAGCTCAGAGTCCTGAGGAGAGAGGCTATGTGTAGGGGGCCCCCTGGGAGCCCCAGGCACAGCTCAGGGTCCTGGATTGGAAGCCTCAGGGCAGACAGCCCAGGTTGGTCCAAGCCTTGCAGGTGGGGTGTTAGCTGATTCCTTCACACTTGTTTTGCTGTGTGACCTTCGGCCCGACTCTGCCTGCTCTGAGCGTTTCCTCACCTGCCACTGATCCTCATACATCCGGCTCATTGTCCCCCTGGAGAGGATTCCGGGAGCCGAGAGTCTGCTTCCTTGGGGGTGGCGGGTTCGTTCAGAAGCACCCTGTTTCGTAGGCTCTGGTGTTGCCCTCATGTCCAACTTTGAGCAGCTGCTCCGAGGGGTCTGGAAGCCAGAGGCCAACGAGATCATGCACATGTCCTTGTGAGTACCCCGTCCTCCCCGTCTGTTCCTCCTGTGCCCCCTGGACCTGACCCTGGATTGGATACTTCTGGTAACTTGGAGGTCCAGCCCCTGATTCTGCCTTCCAGAAGCTTCCAGAGGACATGTCTGGGGGAACCCAGAGAGGGAAGCACAACTCTGCCTAGGGCACAGGGGCAGGCAGAGATGCGGGGAAGTCAGATACTTGATTTGGGTTTTGAAGAGTGAATAGGAGTTTTCTGGCAAAGAAGGAGCCTCTGATTCAGAAGGCCATCACTTCTGCCAAGTCAGAAAAGCAACAACAATTCTGCCTGGTTCTGCAGGGTGGGCGTGCACAGGTGGGTGGGGAGCATGGGGCACGGAGTGGGGGAATTCGGCTGGAGCTACCAGGTAAGTGGAGAATGGTGGGCAGGGCCAGACTGCAGCATCGAGGACCTAACCCAGAACCCTGCACTGCATTTAGCCTAATGCATTTTTAAAAAACCTCACAGAGTCAGACTAGTTCAATGTTCTCCCAATCTACAATAAGTAAGACTATAGCTATTAAAATATGACAAAATTAAAAGGCTTACCCATAGACCAATGACAAGTGCCTGTTGTTTTACACTTTGGAAAATGTGGCTTTATCTCGTTTCATCTCCACGAGAAATCTGTTCCCACCCTCAATTCACTGACGGAGAAATAGGGCCCAGATGGCTGCATCGCCTGCTACTAAGCAGGCAAGTGGCTTCCCCTCTCGGATTCTATTTCTGCCTCATCAGCTGAGGGGGAGGCTTCCATGGAATCACAGACATAACCCCCTGGGCCTGGTACCCGGTGAGGGCTTTGGAAATATCATCATTAGGTACATGCAGTGAGTGGCAGACATCAGGAGCAGAAGTCATGGGTCTGTCTCTTGCAACAAGTTAAAATCTTAGAAACCCAGCCTGCAAGGAAGAAAAGGAAAGCTAAGAAAATGGTTTGTTGTAATCCCACATCCTGGGGAGTGTGCTGTTTGGGGGTCCCTAAGACCACCCTCGGGTTTGATGATTCACCTGGACTCACAGAACTCGGCAAAGCCCTTTCGCTCGGGGTTACACTTTATTACAGGATACAGACTAAAATGGGCAAAGGTAAGAGACACCTGGGGCAGCATCCAGGCGAGACCGGGCTGAGCTTCTGGCTGTCCCCTCTCCGTGGAGCCGTGTGGACGGCGCCTGTTTCTCCCAGCATCCACGTGCGACTATGTGCACTGAATGGTCACAGCAAACTTCCAAACTCTGGTGCCCAGGGATTTACTGGGGCTCAGTGACACTGACATAGCCGACCACCTGCGTGACTGACCTCAGCCTCCAGCTCCCCTAGAAGTTGAGCTGATACCACAGGGCCCCAGATCCCCACCGTAAATCACACTCTGACTCTCTGGTGTGACCCACAGTCCCCAAGTAAACAAAGGCTCCTGTCACACAGGACACTCCCAGCGCTTAGAGCACACCTCCCAGGCTCCAGAGACAAAGGCCAGATCTCTCTGAGTCCAGTTAACCCTTGACTGCACAGAGACACCACCTCCTCCACGCCATGTGGGTCTTTTCCCCTTTCACACTCAGCCAATGGGAGCTGGGGCCGGCTGGGGGCAGGCAGAGGAGGGGGTCTGGGACAGAGGTACAAAGGCCTGAGCGTGCCGTGCCTCCCAGTAACCACGGCTGTCCCCTCCAGCCCCACCAAGGCCAGCCTGTACGGAGCTATCCTCTTCACCCTCCAGCAGACGCGCTGGCTCCCGGTGTCCAAAGCCAGTCTCATCTTCATCTTCACCATGTTCATGGTGTCCTGTAAGGTAAGCCTCCCTGTCCTGACCCACGCCCACCTGCACTTTCCTGTCCAAGAAAGGAGACCCCCAAGTGGGGATGGAGGCCGGGACCTTGCCCGTAGGCCTGTGCATGGAGGGGGTCTGAGAAGAGCAGTGTCCGGCAGGTGGGCTCGGGAGTGAGGGAACAAGTCTTTCCAAGCAGAAGGCCCAGCCTAGGAAAAGCTGAGAGGGGGCCAGGAGTGTGCGGGGTCTGCGTGCCTTGGGTGTGGAGAGTAGAGGGACAAGATGCAGGGAAGGTGCCCTCAGGACGCTGGGCTAGACCAAGAATGGGGCTGGTCTGATCGTCAGGCCTTGAGTTGGGGTCTCCCCGCCCCCCAGGAGGAGTCTTGAGGGGCCACATCCTCCTCCCTCCCTGTGGAGCTGGTCCAGAGGTACAAAGGCCTGAGCTGTCAAAAGAGAATTAGTGACTCCAGGCCAAGCAGAGCTCCTCCCTGAGCCCAGGTGTGGGAGAACTTCTGGGGAGAGTGACCCGCTGTCCCGCTGAGCCCAGCCTGGTCTTGGTTTTAGCACCAAAAGTTCCACATCGCGGGACAGTAGGTCACCCTCCTGGGGGGTGAGGGGTTGTGCAGCCAGAGGGCTGGGTGTGGCCTACCTCTGACCTTGATCTGGCTGATCTTCTCTCCCCCCACCCCCTTGGCTTTCTCTCTCCATCTCTCTCTGTCGCTCTGCTGTCCCCCTGTCCCCCTGCCACCCCTCCTCAGGTGTTCCTGACAGCCACTCACTCCCACAGCTCCCCTTTCGATGTTCTGGAGAGCTATGTCTGTCCCGTGCTGTTTGGGACGGCCTTGGTGGGTGACCATCACCACGACAACCACGGTGGGGCCCATGGAGGGTCCCACGGTGGCAGTGGGCCCGGCTCCCCGCACTCCGCCATGGCCACCAAGTCCAAGGAGGAGCTGAGTGAGGGCTCCAGGAAGAAGAAAACCAAGAAGGCAGATTAGGGAGTGGCCCACGGGGCTTGTGGGGTGCTGGGGGGAAGACCCAGAACCTTCAGAGTCAGGGGTGGGGGAGGTGTCTTGGGCTCAATTGTCCCCTCTCCAGGCCTCACCTTCCCTGTCTGCAAACTGGGGCCTTTAGCCCACCCTCTGGGGTTGATGTGAGGGGTTAGATGAGATATGGGGTAAAGGGCGTTTGTAGGAATGGGGGTTCTCTCTGTGGAACCCCTGTTGAGCCAGATTTGGGGGGAGGGGGCACAGAATCATGGCAGTGGCTCCAGCCAGAAACACGGGCAGTTATGTTCTTGGCTCTATTATTTCCTTTTGAAATTACATTTTGACTGTATTTCAAGCATTATTGAGACATTTATTTGACGGATGATTCCTGAGTACCTCCTGCGATACAGCTGCTGTGATTTCCAATCTTGCTGACTCCAGGGCATCCCTGGGCAAGGGGCCTCCTTCTCTGAGCCTTGCGCTCCCCATCTGTGCAATGGGGTCCCCTGGCCCTCCTCTGCACAAGAGCTGATGTGAGGCTGGACGTGAACCAGCCTCGTGTGCTCAGAAGCACGGTGCGGTCAGCAGGAGAGCCATGGCGGGTGTTCCCTGTGCTTGAGAACTGCTTTGTGCTTTAGATCGTTTGTGTCTGTGGGTTGGAGACCCCCACAAGTTACCTGGCAGGAAGGAGGCCTTCAGTAGACACATCTAGGCCAGGCTTGAGAACTTGGGAGGGTGGGAAAGGCTTGTTCTGATCCTTGGCTTCGGGCTACCCCTAAACCAAAGAAAGACAGCTGGCTGAGCGGGGGCTCCAGGGTCCAGCTATGTCCAGGGGGCTCCAAGCACTTGCTGTTGGGCCCTGGAAGCATCAGGCCTTCCTCACGCCGGCTCATTGCTGCTCATTTAGTCACTCAACAAACATGTTTCCGCCTACTCTGGGGCAGGCTGGGAACTTGCTTCTGGGTGAATAAGGAGGATGGTAGCTGAAGGCCCCTCCCAGCTGCCTTCATCTAATCCTAGGTCACCAGGATGCCTGAGAGAGGTGGGTAGATTGAGTATGGCCAGTCGCTGGTGGGAGTTTGGGCCCAGACCAGGCCAGCAGAGGCTGCCCTCTGCACATGGGTGCTCAGAATGTGCTCAGGGCATCAGCCTGCAGCTGCTTCGAGATTGTCTTGGAGTTATTGGGGTCCCAGGTGTTGCCCAGCTGCTGGGAAAGTGCCTTGATCGGGTGATACCTGGGAGCTGGGTGGGTCCTAAGACTGTAAGGCCCTGAATTCATCCTCTTGCATGTCCATCAAGGCTCGGCACGAAGGTTCAGCAAATAAATCTGTTGTGAGAGAACCCTGTTGGCTTATCTGATTCATTCCTGCTTTTTTCTTTTTTTAAAATTTAAAAAATATATTTTTATTGATTTCAGAGAGGGAGAGGGAGAGAGAGATAAAAACATCAATGATGAGAGAAAATCATTGATTGGCTGCCTCCTGCACACCCCCCACTGGGGATCAAGCCCACAACCCAGGCATATGCCCTTGACCAGAATCTAACCCATGACCCTTCAGTCCGCAGGCCGACGCTCTGTCCACTGAGCCAAGCCGGCTAGGGCCCTGCTTTTTTCTTAGAGATGCTCAGAGGTTCCTGGGGAAGGAGGCTCATGGCAGCCCTTGACCGCCAGTGGGAAGTAGTGGCCGTGGGTGAGGTCTGGGTTCAAATTTTCACTCTGCCACCAACAGGTCATGGGGCCTCCCCTTTTCCAAGCCTGTTTGCTTCTTGGGAAAAGGGGGTGATAATTATCATTGTCCTTCAAAGTAGGTGGGATTCAATGGAGTGTTTGGAATTTGCAGCTAAGAGTCTGTGCAAGATTCTGTTAATAGAAAAAGACAAGCCACAGACTGGGAGGAAATCTTTGAGAATTATATATCTGATCAAGAATTGTATCCGGAATATATAAAGAATTCTCAAAACTCAAATATAGGGAAACAGCCCAATTTTAAAATGAGCAAAAGATTTGAATGGACATTTTGCCATAAAGAATATAGAAATAAGCACACAAAGAGACCCTCAACATCCGTGGCCATCAGAAAAATTGGTGGGAAGGTACCACTTCATGCCCGTGAGGATGGCTACAAATAAAAAGACTGACCATGCTTAGTGCTGGGGAGGATGTGGAGCAACTGGGACTCTCATACACTGCAGACCGTGTAGCCCAAGCATGTCAAACTCAGAGGCTAACACGGGCCAAATAAACTAGGTTTAAGTTTACGTGGGCCGCAAAAAAACAAAAGCTTCAATTTTCATAGAAACGTAGGTTTATTTCGATAGAGACATGCTGAATACAAAGGGCTGAAATAAATGAGTAACCGTTAACATAAAAAATAGAACATTTTAATAAAAATTAATATTTTTTCTTGAACATTAACTTACCAGACACTGAATAACTGCACACATTAATAAGCGTAATGCAAATAAACCTATTTTTCTTGTTCTCTGAAAGTGAAATATTTCCTGTTGCGCACACCAAACAAGTCAGTACAAGACTAATGACGTGGCAATCGGCTGCTAAAATATTCGCTGCTGGTGTTAGTGGGGAGAAATGGTGCGCCTGTGCGTAAGGCGCGTAAGGGAAATGAATGCAACACGATTATAGTCATCAGTCATTAGTGAACGTTGTAGTTCGTTATTCATAATTATGTATAACAGGATATTGTAAAAATCAAGTTATGAAATTTTTATTAAAACGTTTCTTACATATCGTTATATTGGCTGGGCCCCAAAAATATTCGTTGTGGGCCGCATGTAGGCCGTGAGTTTGACATGCTTGGTGTAGCCCCTTTGGAAGGCAGTTTGGCAGTTTCTTAAAAAGTTAAAAGTGCACTTATCATATCACCCAGCATCGCACTCTTGAGTATTTGCCCAAGAGAAATGAAAGTGTGTCCACACAAAGACATGTACATGAAAGTTCATTTTTTAAAGAAAATTGTTGACAGTATTACAGATGTCCCCCATTTTTCTCTTTGCACCCCTCCACCCAACCCCTGCCCCACCCAAGGCCTCCCTCACACTATTGTTTATGTCCATGGGCTATGCATATATGCACATACCAGTATGTTCTTTGGTTAATCTCTTCCCATCCCTCCCACCCCATTCCCTCTGAGAGCTGTCAGTCTATTCCATGCATCCATGTCTCTGGACCTATTTTGTTCATCAGTTTATTTTGTTCACTAGATTCCATATATAAGTGAGATCATGTGATATTTGTCTATGACTGGCTTCTTTCACTTAGCATAATACTCTCCAGGTCCCTCCATGCTGTTGCAAAAGGTGAAAGATCCTTCTTTTTTATAGCCACATAGTATTCTTTTATGGAAATGTACCACAGCTTTTTTATCCACTCAGCTACTGATGGGCACGCTTAGCTATTGTAAATAACACTGCTATGAACACAGGGGTGCATATATTCTTTCTGAATGGTGTTTCGGGATTCTTAGGATATATTCCCAGAAGTGGGATCGCTGGGTCAAATGGCAGTTACATTTTTAATTTGAGGAAACTCCATACTGTTTTTCACAGTGGCTGCACCAGTCTGCATTCCCACCAGCAGTGTACCAGGGTTTTGTTAATAATAGCCCCAAACTGGGAACAAACAAATGCCCAAAAAAGGTGAATGGATAAATAATTGCCCCATCCAATGGAATACTGCTCAGCAATAAAAAGGAACGAAATGCAACAGCATGGATGAGCTTCATATGCATTGTGGTGGGTAAATAAAAGTCACCCCAAAATAATGCATATTGTCTGAGTCCCTTTATATAAAATTCTAGAAATAGAAAGCTGATTAATGGCTGCTTGGGGAGATGTGGGTGGGAGGGATGGCAAAAAAGCACAAGGGGTCTGGGCGATGGATGTCTTCACCATCCTGATTGTGAAGACCTGGCTTCACAGGTCTATATACCTCATAATTTATCAAATGTATACTTACTAATATGAACAGTTTAGTGTATGTCTATGGTATCTCAATCAAGCTGTAAAAAAAATCTTCAGTAAGAAAAACACACACACTTAAAATGAGGCAAAATATTTGAACAGATAATTCAAAGAAAATACATGGATGGCAGGTAATCACAAGAAATACACATTAAAAGCACAATGAAATGCCACTGCATATCTGTCATGGGCTGAATTATGTTACCCTCAACATTTATACAGTATGTTGAAGTCCTAAGCCAGCGGTTCTCAACCTGTGGGTGGCGACCCCTTTGGCGGTCAAACGACCCTTTCACAGGGGTCGCCAAGACCATCCTGCATATCAGATATTTACATCACGATTCATAACAGTAGCAACATTACAGTTATGAAGTAGCAATGAAAATAATTTTATGGTTGGGTCACAACATGAGGAACTGTATTTAAAGGGCCAGAAGGTTGAGAACCACTGTCCTAAGCTCTAGTACCTCGAACTGTAACCATATTTAGAGAGAGGGTCTTCAAAGACGTGATTAGGTTACAATGAGGTCTTTAGGGTGGACCCTAATTCAATATGATTACTGTCCTTATAAGATGAAGAGATGAGGACACAGACACACGCAGAGGGAAGACCATGGGAGGACAGAGAAGAGGGTTGTCTGCAGGCCATGAAGAGAGGTCTCAGAAGAAACCAACCCTGCCAGCACCTTGATCTCGGGCTTCTAGCAGCCAGAAGAGTCAGAAAACACATCTCTGTGGTTTAAGCCACTCAGGGTTTTGTTATGGCAGCCCTAGCAGATGAATACAATAGTGCTCAGAATGGTTAAAGTAATAACTCACAATCCCAGGTGCTGCTAAAGATCTGGAGCCACTGGGACACTCACATGGTGCTGGTGGAAAACAGCTGGGCAGTTTCCTATGGAATTAAACATCACTTACCATATAACACAGCGATCCCATTCCTAAGCGAAACGCAGACTCGTGTTCACTCAAGAAACGTTTAAAGCAAGCTGATCATGGTCATCACCGAGAGCTGCAAGCATCCCAGGTGTCCATCAGCCGGTGAGTGGACGAACATTATACAATGACCCCATCATACAATGAATACTACTCCGTCATGCAAGAGAAAGAAGCGTCTGATACACACAGCAAAGCGGAAGAATCGCAAGTGCATTTGCTACATGAAAGAAGCCAGGTTCCCTGTGTCCTGTGCACTCCCATTCTAGGGACTTTAGGAAAGGCAAAGTTAGAGGCACAGAAAGCAGGTCAGTGGGTGCCCGGGGCAGGGGGGTGGGAGGGGAGATGGTCTGGGAAGGGGCCAGGGGCATTTGGGGAAGGTTGACGGAACTGTTCTGTATCTTGATTTGGTGGGGAATCCATAACCATATCTTTATCAAAACTCATAGAACCGTGCGCCAAGTATCCTACTCTCATCTAAAACAGAAAGGATAAAGCAGAATAGGCACTTGAATGTTAGCTATTGTAAATTGTGCTGCTATGAACATAGGGGTGCATATATCCTTTCTGATTGGTGTTTCTGGTTTCTTGGGATATATTCCTAGAAGTGGTATTACTGGGTCAAATGTCAGTTCCATTTTTAAAAAAATATATTTCTTTATTGATTTAACAGAGGAAGAGAGAAGGAGAGAGAGATAGAAACATCAACGATGAGAGAGAATCATTGATCGGCTGCCTCCTGCACGCTCCCTACTGGGGATCGAGCCCGCAACCCAGGCATGTGCCCTTGGCCGGAATCGAACCCGGGACCCTTCAGTCCGCAGGCTGACACTCTATCCATTGACCCAACCCGGCTAGGGCTCCATTTTTTTTTTTTTGAGGAAACACCATCCTGTTTTCCACAGTGGCTGCCCCAGTCTGCAGTAATAAAGAACATTACAAACTGTTGAACAAAAATAGAGGCAAAGAAGCATCGAACAGACTGTCAAACTACAGCGGGAAAGTAGGGGAGGGTTCGGGGGGGGGGGGGAGTGGTAAGAGATCAACCAAAGGACTTGTATGCACACATATAAGCACAACCAACAGACGCAAGACACTGGGGGCGAGGGGATGAGGGCAGTGCCAGTGGGTAGGGGAGGCGGGGGGAAGGTCAGTGGGGGGAAAAAGAGACATATGTACTACTATTTGTAATACCTTAAACAATAAAAAAAAATAAAAAAAATAATAGGCACTTGAAGCTTCCCCAACCCGTTCACATCCCTGCTTTTCACCTGCGAGGGGTGGGGGCAGGGGGGGGGGGCTCCCCTCTCAGTTCCCCCGTCTCCTTTGTTGCCGGGAGTGGCCTGGGGGGAGCTTTTGGCCGGGAGGGAGGTTTGGGTCGGAATTCAAAACCCGGTTTTGGGGGCCCAGCCCCTCCGGTTGGC